TCCTGCCTCTATTTCCTGAGGTTGCAGGTGTGTATCCTCACACCTTTCTTATACATGGGATGGACTTAGACCAGGAATCATCAGCCATTTTTAACAATCTTGTTTGGGATGTGTCTCAAAACAGAGAATGTGCATGGCTCATACCCAGGTGGCCTAGATAACTATGCTGAAACCCCTGGATGTCAGCTGCTGAGTGACAGAAGTCAATCAGGAGAATGAGGAGGGGCCCACTCTCTTGTCTTGTCCCCTTTATTTCCTAAGTAGCTATCCTATTTCAATGTAATGTCAATCTATGACCTTAGCTTTCAGTATGCCAAGCTTTCTGTCTTTCCTTTTCTCTTCTGAGACAGTCTCATGTAGCAGGGGAGACTCAACTTTGCTATATACCTGAGGCTGACAGAGGATGCCCATTCTTGGTTATCAACTTGATTACATCAACTCAAACTAACTAAAATTAAAAAATGGAGGGCACACTTGGGAGGGATTTTCCACTTAACTTGAAGAAGGAAGATCCATGTCTAATCTGGATTTTTTTTTTTTTTTAGTTTTCACTTTATTTATTTCGAATGCATTGGTGTTTTGCCTATATGTATGTCTGTGGTGAGTGTGTCAGATTCTTCTGGAATTGGAGTTATAGACAGTTGTGAGCTGCCATGTAGTTGCTGGGAATTGAAGCCAGGTCCTCTGGAAGAGCAGCCAAATGATCTTAACTACAGAGTCATCGCTCCTGCGCCTTTAATCTGGATCTTGAGGTAGGAAGACACACCTTTAATTTGGGCCACACCTTCTGCTGGTAACTTAAATAAAAAGGACTTGGAAAAAGGAAACCTTTGCTTTTTGCTCTGGACTTGCTAGCAAGTGTATTCCTTCTCTGGCATTAGAGACTACTTCTTTGGGATTCAGCTTCTACTGAAGACCAGCTGAGACGTCGAGCCTTGTGGACTGAGCATCTTTGGATTCTTGGATTTTCCATTCATCGTCAGACATCATTAGATTAGCTGGAGCACATCTTGTAAGTCATTCTAATAAATCCCATATATGTAAATCCCATATATAGATTCAAATATATGTGTGTGTGTGTATAGATAAATAGATGATAGATGGAGGGAGAGAGAAAGAGCGAGAGATTCATTCTATAAGTTCTGTTACTCTAGAGAACCCTAACTAATACAAAGCCCTTCACCTCACATTGAATTCCCACTGGGAATTACATGTATTTGATACCATGTTCAACTTATTAGGTGCTGAGTGGGATCATATCCAGGGTTTCTTGCATACTAGACAAGCAATCCACCAATGGAATTACACAGAAAGCCCCAAATTGAGTAGTGTTGTTAAAAATCTAAAAATGAACATCATCTTTGTCTGATATAAATCATAAAATATAGATACTTAGAAAACTCAAGCCTAGGGCCATTGAGATGCCTCTAAATGTACTGGCACTTGTTGCTAACCTTGACAGTCTGGGCTTGATACCCGGGACCCACATGATAGAAAGTGAGAACAAGGTCTACGGAATAGAGGCAGGCAGATCTTTGTGAGTTCTAGACCAGGCTGGTCTACAAAGTGAGTTCCAGTATAGCCAGGGCTACACAGAGAAACCCTGTCTCAAAAAAAAAAAAAACCCAACAAAAAGTTCAAGGTCATCAGTAGCTCCACACAAACAAGTCGAAGAATAACCTGGGCTGCACAAAACTCTGTCTTAAAAACAAAGTCTGAAAAAATTGTAACAATTTGTGTTGCTGGGAATAGACCCAAAGGCAAAACATGTAAGCAAGGACTCTACCATTGACTCACACCCCCAGCCTCCCCCCTCCCCCACTTTTTTTTGACACTATTCCAGGGAAAAGGTTGGATACTGTGTGATTCTCACTATGTAACATTTTAGAAAACGTCAAACTGTGAAACCAGTTAAAAGATCAGTAACTGCAGGAGTAGGGAGGAGAGGCTAAATCGGTAGAGCATCAGGGCTGCTGATGTAGCTCAGTGTAAGAGTGCCAACTCGGCATGAAGGAGGCCCTACAAAACAAACAAAAAACACAGCCTATTAAACACAGAGTGAACTGTGACGTAAATTATGGACTTCAGCTAATAACAATACAGTGATACAAGTTTCTCAATTGTAGCAAATTACCACACTGAAGCAAAATGATAAACAACAAATGTCTATGAAAGGAGTGGTAGCTTAATGCTTACCCCTCATCGTGTCTGTAAATCCAGAAAACAAAGTTTCTGAGGGAGAATAAGAAGAGCTTCAGCAGATCCTATTGACTGCATGCTTCCCAGAGAGAGACACAAATTTCTCCTCTGATTAGATTCTGACACCGTCAGGACGTGGCCCATGGACCAGCTGTTGGATTTGGTAAAGAAATTAACTACCCTGTGTAGAGCGAGGAATGAATCTGCCATCTAGCCGAGTGAATCTGTTTTCTTTTAAGAGTTGTAATTCTTACCACAGCCATAGACACTCGTACCAAAGACCCCTACCTCTTACCAAAGATGAACTAATTCATTCCTCTGCAACTCTACTGTCATCTTTGATTCAAAGGGTTTTTTGTTTTTGTTGTTTTTATTTGCTTTGTTTTTTTGTTTTTTTGTTTTGTTTTTTTTTGTTTTTTTTTGAGACAGGGTCTCACTATGTAGCTCTGGTTGGCCTTAAAGGCATTATTCCAGGCTGGTCTGGAATTCACTTAGGTCAGCCTGCCTTTGCCTCTCAAGTGCATGCGTACCACCATGCCTGACATTCACCCAGGTTTTTTTTTTTTTGGGTGGAAACAGTTTATTTGAGGCACTAGAATAGCAGCAGGAAGCCAGTGTGGGCAGAGATGGCAGGTAGGGACTCAACTGCATCTGGGGGTGGGAGTCACCCAGGTTTTTAAGAAAGTCACCCTGAAGTGGACCACAGAGTAAGAAATTTTGAATTACCGAAGAGGGAGAAACTAATCTCTTATAAAAATTAATCTATAAGTGACTTATTTAAGCTGTGTTTCTGTCTCTGGGATTATCTCTGATGGTTACCTAACATTGCCATGGTATTTCTATAAATAACATCAAAATGTACCTACAGTGTCCAGATACTCTTTCAAGACTTAGGAATGTCACAAAAATCAGGGTAAATTCCATGTTCTTAGCTGAGAGAATGGGAAAGACCAACCAACCAACAAAAACCCAGTAATACCAGCACTCTGGAAATGGAGGCAAGAAGATCGTGAGTTCAAGGCCAGTCTGGGCTACATAGTGAGACCTCAGAACAAACAAGTAAAAAAATTAATAATAAAAAAAAAAACAGCCGGGCGGTGGTGGCACACGCCTTTAATCCCAGCACTTGGGAGGCAGAGGCAGGCGGATTTCTGAGTTCGAGAGTTCGAGGCTAGCCTGGTCTACAAAGTGAGTTCCAGAACAGCCAGGACTACACAGAGAAACCCTGTCTTGAAAAACCAAAACAAAACAAAAACAAAAACAACAAAAAACAACAAAAGAATAAACAGGTATATTCCTTTGCAGTTAAGAAGAAAATAAAGAAGGCCAAAAGCAATGACTATCTTAATAAGATGGCCTTAGAAAGGCATCTCTGGCCGAGCGGTGGTGGCACACACCTTTAATCCCAGCACTTGGGAGGCAGAGGCAAGCGGATTTCTGAGTTCGAGGACAGCCTGGTCTACAGAGTGAGTTCCAGGACAGCCAGGGCTACACAGAGAAACCCTGTCTCAAACCCCCCCCCCCCAAAAAAAAAGAAAAGAAAAGAAAGGCGTCTTTGACAAGAAAATTGATTTAAACCAGGTTCTGTCAGAATCTGGGGCATTAGCATTCAGGAAGTTCCTGAAAACTCTGCCACCTCTAGGATGTATGATTTTGTTCTCAGTTGCTGAACTTCTCTGAGCCTAGCCTGTAAAATTCAGATAGGCCAGACATAGGGCACTGTAAATGATAGCAATTGTACGGTTTTAGAATAATTTTTTACTACTTATGAACTTATAAATGCGGTATGTCCCCCATGTCACAAGAGAAAAAGAATGTCAACCCTCCTAAGGGACTTTGTAATTTAAAACGGAATGAGGACCCTGCAACAGGGCAAGCATTCCCTTCCTTGTAAACTCGAAAAATGCACCGCTGTCGGCTTTAGGTTTCTCTTTTATAAGTTGGAGATTTTTTTTTTTTTTTTTTTTTTTGGTTTTTCGAGACAGGGTTTCTCTGTATAGCCCTGGCTGTCCTGGAACTCACTCTGTAGACCAGGCTGGCCTCGAACTCAGAAATCCGCCTGCCTCTGCCTCCCAAGTGCTGGGATTAAAGGCGTGCGCCACCACTGCCCGGCCTGGAGATATTTTTTACTGTTGTTAATTTGACATTTATTCAGGCCCCTGTATTGAGGCACAAATATGCCAGGCGTGGTCTTAAATATGGAAATATATTCATGGATTTAATCTACAGCGACCCAGCCAATCCTTTATTCTTTGACAGCGTCTTTTGGAGACCGGAGTTACTTCCGACTCAGAAGACTGGACTCCAGAATTTGCAAACCATCAGCAGTCAGCGCGGTGCCTAGCACAAGGTAAGAGTCGGACACATCCCTTAAGATGTTGCTGGTGGTGATGACGGTCCATTCTCACCAGCAGCTTTGGAGGAGCTCAGGGTATGCAGTCTGTTAGGAGGGGAGTTGGTAAGCGCTGGCACAGCAGCCATCACAGTGATGAGACTTGTGCGTGGGCGGAATTAGCTGTTCATCCCTCCGCACTTAGGGACCGTGGCCACTTGAGCGCCCCTTCCAGACCCGCCCGGTGGGACGGTCCGCCTCCCCCTCTTCTGCGGAGGCAAGTAGTTTCTCCTGTTCTCCGCGTAGCCTCAGGTTCCACGCTGCAAGTCACAAAGCGCTGGGTCACGTGGGCGGGCCGGTGCGCTTTGTGACGCAGATGGCCCCGCCCCCGGCCCGCCTATCCGCGCACGCCCAAGCCCCGCCTCGCGTGCGCCGCCCGTGCAGTCCCTGCTTAAGAGACCCCGGAGTGGGGGCGCTCGCCCGAAGCCAGGCCGCGTCCGCCATAGTGCCTGGCGCGGAGGTGTCGTCGGCGCAGGGTGCGGGCCGGAGAGCGGCCGGGGTGGGGGGGCAGAACAAAAAAAATAATAATAAAGAGGGAATCCAGCGAAGCCCTCGCCGTCACCCGACCGTTTCCGGGCTTCCCGACGCGGTTGTGGGCTCAGAGGCGACAGGAGCGGGAGCAGCGCGAGGAGCAGCAAGAGGAAGAGTCGGGCAGCCTCGGTGGTGTTCCCGGGGCCAACGAAGCCGCCTTCCGGGGCCCGGGGTGGTGAGGAAGGGCCTCGCGGCCTAGCTGGGCCCCGCACCGGCTTTGTGTCAGGCGGCGGCGGGGGGGAGGCGGAGCCGAACCGGGCGGCCGCTGGAAGGCCTCTCCTCCGCCGACCGCGCGATCTCGGCCTAGGCCGCGGGCCGCTCGTGGCCTCCGGGGAGCAGGCGCCAGGGTGTGTGTGCGGTGGGGGCCTGGGCCTGGGGACGCCGACGCCGGTCGTCCGGAAGCCGGGAGGAGGCGAAAGGCCGCTCGTGGACTCCGGGCCTAGGCCCTCTCCCCGCAACCTTCTCCCGGGGCCTGGGTCACCCCCATCCACGGAGAGAGACTAGCCGGGAGGTGCGGCCGCTATGGACCCCTGACCCCGCGGGGTCATTCGGACTCTAACGTGTGGACTGACCGCTACTGACTGCACCGCCTGCCCCCGTCTCCTGCCGGCCCTTAGCATGAGCGAGTGGGACCCAGCCGGGTGACATTGTGCCGGTTGGCGGATCCTCGATTGCCCCTTTCCTGTCCTGCTCCTCCCTCATGAAGCGATTCTGAGTACGGGGGGGGTTTCCGGATTATTGTTCTCACGAACCCCCGCTTGTGGTTGGGGGGGTATTTAATCTGAGGCCTTAGGGTCCTTCGTTGTCTTTTGAGTGTTTTGTGTGTGTACATATTTTGCTCTTAAGTTTATAAATATACATATATTGAGAGTGTCCACGTCTCCTCGCTGAACCTTAGGAATCCTTTGCCACAATGTCCTGTGTGCACTATAAATTTTCCTCTAAACTCAACTACGACACCGTCACCTTTGATGGGCTCCATATCTCCCTCTGCGACTTAAAGAAGCAGATTATGGGGAGAGAAAAGCTGAAAGCTGCCGATAGCGATCTGCAGATCACCAACGCACAGACGAAAGAAGGTAAGAGACACATGGGCCACAGATATTTATTGGGTCGAGGTGGGTATTTTAAGTTGCTTGTTCCGGGCGTAACCTCCATTCTTACCCGATGTCATACACAGAGTTTCATTGATAGCCAAGGATTGCAGCACCCGACCTTGGAGTTTAACTGTAACTGGCCTTCTGAATGCTGGGGTCAGTCTTTCCTCGTAGCTTGGTTCTTCTCAAAATGTCGCCCCTCCTCCTTTTCAATTAAAGTTTTGTTTTTTTTTTTTAAACTGTGAGATTGAATTGAAAAGAGAAAGGGGTTGCTATCTAAGTCTGTTGGGTGTTTGCCTTGTGGCCTTCCCTAATTTGTTTTTTCATCAGGAAAGGAAAGCCTGTGTAAGGGCAGCAGTAGATACATATAACTTGTTTGCTAATCTAGCGTTTTGAAGCTGATAGCAATTTGCACACCACCACCCCCCTTTATTTATATGGGGTTACTTGTGGAAAAGGTATTTTTGTAGATTTAATTAGTGTTGGAATTGGTCTTGTATTATAAAATATTCTGAGGTGAACACTCTGAGGTGTAATTCCAGACTTAGTGATATTTCCCCAACAAGTTGAATTCTGTAGCCCAGACTGGCCTCCAACCCCAACAATCCCTTGTTTGAGCTTCCCAAGTGTGGGGAATGCAGGTGTTAGACAACATTTTAACTCTTCAGCAATTCAGGAAAGTTTCAAAGTGGGGTCTTAACCCAGCACCGTGTGTGTGTGTGTGTGTGTGTGTGTGTGTGTTTGTTTCTAAAAGAGTGCTACCATGTGTGACTATAAGCCACTGATTATAATGTTTGAGTTCTTCATTTTAAAAGTAATATTGGGGTCTCTCCTTTTCCCACCTACTTCTGCCTCCCTAGTGCTGGCATTAAAGGTATGCACCACCTTGAATTCAGAGATCCTCTTGCCTCTGTCTCTGAGTGCTGAACTCAAAGGGATGCACCACCACCCCTGAAAACAGGAATGGTGGCAGTGTCAGTCATCTTCACCGACTCTGAGCTTGATTTGGTTTCTTTTTCTCAGAATAGTAATACTCATTGGATGGGCTCTAGTAGGTTAGACTTCTAACATTCATTGATAGTATGGGAAGAAAGAGAGTTCTAAATGGAGTTGTTTTATTTATGTCATGGTCTTAATTACTGGCCTGGACTTCTCTACTTAGATCAGGCTAGCCTCTGACTTACAGATCAGCTTGCCTCTGCCTCCAGTGTGCTGGTATCAAAGACATGTCCAAGCTAAATTTGATACAAGGTGTGGTAAGGGGTTTTTGTTGTTGTTGTTTTTTGTTTGTTTGTTTTTTGGTGGGGTTTTGGGGTGGGGTCTCATCTCAGCCTGTAGTTTGGTAGGTCAACCAAATCTTGTCAGGTAGAAGACCAGCTTTTCATTTGTGGTACAGACAAAAGCAAATTACAATACTAAAAGAATATTGTCTGTTTTAAGTCCACCAAAAGCAGACCTTAGTGTTGACATCAGCTTTATAAAAACACATGGCTTTTTAAGAATTTTTGGCTACATTGTTATATAAATGCATCTTTAGGAATGAGAAGAAAGATAAATGAAATTAGGGGTTATTGGGCACTTTTTATCTACACAGGTTTCATTTTTATTACAATTTATACAGTTGAATCATTTGAAGCTAGGCTTTTTCCATCTTGCTGCCAACCAGCATTTAAAGGCAGCTTTTAGACTGGAGTAAGTTGTGATTGAAAAATTTTTGTCCACAAATTGATATCATGTGACTTTGCATTATTTTTCTAGTTCAGGACATATCTGAAACCTAAAAAATACAGGGAAGTTCTTTCCTCATAGCAAGTTTCTTCTCTGTGCTGCCCTTAATTGAAGAAAGTTTGATGTTGGGTTGGTTAAGGAAGAGTTGTGAGAGCTTTCTTTGTTATGTGCACTCAGATCAGGGGAGGGGTTGGTAGTGGTACAGAAACCTAGGAGCTGGAGAGATGGCTCAGTCTGTAAGAGTATTTACTGTTCTTGCAGAAGACCCCACTTGTGTTCCCAGCACCCATAGGGGAACTCAAAACTCTTAACATCTGTTCCCTAGGGTCCTAATGATGACTTCTGGCTCCACAGACAGCAGGCATGCTTCTAGGCACAGATATAGGCCCAGTTTTACAAGGCAGTTGAATAAGAATTCTACTTGGTTGAGAATCATCTAGTGAATTAAAGGTTACAAAATAAATAGTTAGGATACTTATTAGATTGCCTAGAAGTTTAAATTACTGATGTACCAGGTTTCTGTAAAACATTCCTTTAACTATAGAAATCTGTCAGGTATTAAGGACCATGAACTCTTGGTAAAACTAAAATGCTTGTGTCAGAGTTCTGTTTTAGACTTAATTGTGCTTGTTTCTAGGCTATTATTTTACAATGACTTCCAAATGGTCTTAGAAGAAAACTTTTGAAGGGTAGGCTCACTACCAAAAGTACACTGACCCTCCCATCTATCCAGTAACTTTCATACTGAACTTGGTTGATTTGAAGTCTGAGTATAAAGGGGTTTTGTTTTTATCCTTACTCTGGCTTATCTGTTCCTCAAATTCATCTTGTTTTTCATTCCATGCACGGTTTCTCTGTTTTAGACAAAACTTACACTGGTAAGCCTTTTTGTTTTTTCATCCTGGCGCAGAGTCGAGTGCTCTATCACTAAATTTCCAGCCCTGATCCTTTTGAATCTAAAGGAACTACTTGTTAAGGATTTATATGTCAAATACTCTTGGGATTATACTCTAATTAGCCAGCTGGAACCTTATGTTTGAGGGGTGTCGGGGCACCTGAACTTATTACTATATAGTACACCACTGCTGATCAAATTAGTCATTTGTTCTAACTAGATCCAGGTAATCCAGGTTAGTCTTGAACGCAATGGCGATCCTCCTGCTTCAGCTTCCTGGGAATTAGAATATCGGACTTGTTGTCATTACCCCATCTAACTAATAAGTTGTCTTTGAAAGTTTTGTGAATACACTTGAGGGTTATTACACTTAAAGAAACAGCCAAATGTTTGACACTCTTAAGTTTGGGTTCTAGAATTATTAAACTTAAAAATACCCCAATTTTTTGCTTCTGATTTTTCTTATTCATCTTGCTTGGGATTTGGAAACTGTCCAAGATAATGATAGTCTTGCGTGCTTACATCTAGGAAATTGCATCATTCTTGGTTGGATGCCTGTAAAATATAGTCAACAGCTGAAAGAACTCTTGCTTGGGCAATTTGCTGTAGAACAAGGAATAACTAAATGCTTGATGACCAAAAATAATAAAACTGATAAACAGTAAACGCTTGAAATGTATAAAATAATTGAAGGCAGAAAAGTGTGCCACTTTGTTTAGGTTGTAGGATTAAGGGAGATTTTCACATCTTTAATTGTTTTTCTTGATAATTTTACTCATTCCTTCCTTAACTCTTTTTAATATACTTAAGGACTATTTAATTTTATTCTTAAAGAGCTATTGTAATTATAGAGTAGAAAAATGTTGCTCTTTCCTCCTCTTGATCTGCTCAAAAAGTGATATCCACTTGCTAAAGCTGTGAACATAGAAATTTATGTATAGTTCTTCTTTCTCCATACCATGAGCAGCCTCCACAGCATTGTTACTAATGCTGGCTGTCACTGGACCACAAAGCAGCCTTCTTACTGACTCACCCGGTTTCTGTTCAGTTTGTCTCCCATGCAAATACCAGAGCAATGTAAATTGTCATCACCTCACGTAAAATCCACCATTGACTTCCTTGTTTTACATGGAAAACAGTATAAATCAGTATACGGTTTATACTTTACTACTTCATTTTATGTCATTCTTTAATTTCCTTTAACATTGCAGTCTTCTTGTCATTTGTTTTTCTCTGAGTAACTACTATTCATTTTGTTTACTTGTGTATGTCTGGCTGGCTTGTCAGTCTTTTCATTTACAAACTTAAAGTCCTTCAGAGGGGCTTTGTTTAGAACAACATTCTATCCAAAGTGTTAGCCACTGTCCATTCTTTATTTTTAAAAACAATAGAATATAATTTCATTTTTAGCCTGTCTTTTCTAGTAGTAAGCTACATGAGAACAGGGGATTATAATATTTAGCTCATGTTTAAGGATTCGGGAGGTACACTCTCATTTCAAGTAACCCCATAGTTTGCATGTTGAGCATTACTTGGCTAAATGAGCTGGGAAGCAGCTTAGTCTCATGAACTTGAGTTTCTCAAAGTCGGCTCTAGAGCCAAAGACCTGACCGACCATACTGCATCAGTGGAAGGAGCTCACTTAGGGCTGGGATATTTCATCTAACAATAGTAGTTCCTAATTGTGGATTTTGGTGTTCTTGTACTGTAAAACTGATGTTTGGTTGAAGTTTTCTTATTCCTGAGTACTTAGATCCCTGAATAGAAATTTGATTCTTTGTTTACAGAATATACTGATGATAATGCACTAATTCCTAAAAATTCATCTGTAATTGTCAGAAGAATTCCTATTGGAGGTGTTAAGTCTACAAGCAAGACATATGTTATGTGAGTATATAAAAAAAAGCTCATGCATTTATAAAAATATCCTATTTTAAAGGTTTCAAAACATTTTACTTACGTTAAAATTTTTTCTTGTTAACCGTGAAAACTGCAATAGGAATTGGATTGCTTTTTTTTCTCTTTCTTTCTTTCTAATGTTTCCCCCTGGCTAAGTTGGCATAGTTTAAAATTGTTAAGGGAGCTATTACTAAGAAACATTTTTGTTCCATACATGCTAGTGGGACTTTGAGTAAATTATTGTCTCATCTCAGGATTTCTCCATAGTAGGGTTATGAGTGCAACGGTCAACCCTACTCAGAACCTTTATCCACCTACTGTGTCAGCAATAAGTACAAAGTAACAGACTCATAATTGCTTATAGAACACATTTTTCTTAAATATAAGCCATCTGAAGATGTTTTAAAGTAGAGACTATTGCAGAGTTTATATGGAAGTGCATGCTGTTTTCTGTAAATGATTTCTGAGCATCCTTTTATCTGTGGTGGATGAGAGTAAAAATTCTACATCCAATTCCCCATAAATACCTAGGGATAACTGTTCCTCTAACTCGTGTATGAGGAATTAAGTGGTGCTTGGCATAGGATGGATAGCTATTATTAAAATAAAGTTAGGGCAATATAAAAGAGTATTTTAGAATTTGTGTTTATTAAAGAGACAAAACTATAATAAATTTCTCTTTATTATTAATGTACTGAGGATTAAACCTAGTCCCTTGCTTGTATTAAGCATTCTACCATTGAACCACATTCATAGATCTCTGTCTGCTTTTAGTATTTCAAGACAGGGTCCTATTGTTAAAGTTGTTCAGGCTGATGGTGATAGGTTTGAATCTATAGCTCTTAAGACCTTGAATTTGATGTCTTGTGAGTAGCTAAAATTACAGTTCTTCACCACGAGGCATGGGCATCTCAGAAGTTTTATATTGATAGCAAAACTATAATACATAAATAAGGTAGAATTATTTTCTATGTCTTAGCATGAAATTACATTTGTTGTGTGGTTTTTAAAAAACATATCAAGCAGGGTGTGGTGGGACATGCCTTTAATCCCAGCACTCAGGAGGCAGAAGCAAGTGGATCTACATAGCAAGCTTGGTCTACATAGCAAGTATCAGGATACCCAGGGCTATATAGCTATATAGAAAGACTTTGTCTTTAAAAAAAAAAAAATGAAATAAATAAAAACAAGTATCAAATATTTCATCTCTGAAATTCTTTTGGTACTTAGAAACTCTTGAGAAAGGAATATTTTAAGTCCATGGCCATTTTTAAGGTGCTTCATATAAAATTGCTTATTAATTTTTATATTGAATTTTTTTGATAGTGTTTGCCTCATAAAATTCTCAATTTGAGCAAATAATAGAAAGTTCGTTATTTTTGTCAGGAGTTCAAAATCATGTGTGAACTTACATGCTGTTTAGTATTTCTCTACAGTAATCTTTAGGATGACCTCAGTTCTGATTCCCCTTCTAGTCTATTTAGGCTAAAGAAACTTTGGGTTTGTTTATGTTCTTCTAGCAACAATTTGTCCTATTATATATAAGCATGAAATGGATTTTAAGATATTTTCAGACTATGTTATATTTTCCAGACATCTTAACTTTTATTAAACACTTGCTTATTGTTTTAAAATGTTTGTCTGGTTTTTGAGACACAGTCTGTCTACATAGCCTTGGCTGTCCACTTGCCACTGCCTCCTGAGTGTTGGAATTTAAGGCATATGCCACCACTGACCATCTTTAAAATATTTTTTAAATTAAAATAATCATTACCTGGTCTATCTGGATTTGAAAGCTAGTTTTAAGCACTGCAGTCTATCAGAGATCTCATAAATGTACCAACAGTGATTTGATTAAGAAACTGGAAATGTAGAAATATATGTCTAGGTTTTCAAAAAAGGGGAAAGACTACTTTTTAAATCCGTTATAAGTAAAATACAGAGTTTATAAATGGCATATCACTTCGGAACCTTTCAGAAGTGATATGTTACAACTAGTAAGTCTCAACTAGAATTCCTCAATATGTTTTTTTTAGAAACTATGAACGTATCTTAAACCATTTGGAAGTAGTAAATGGTGATCAAAGTTGCTTATTCAGTATATTGGAAATTATGTTAAAGCTTTTTTGTCAAAAGAAAATTATATTCCTAAAGATGTAAGGTTAGAGCTATATATTAATATTTGTCAGTCATACATGGTGATGCACACATATTCCAGTACTTGTGAGGAAGAAGCAAGAGGATCTGGCCTTGACTGTATAGTGAGTTCAAGGCTGGCCTAGGCTAAACAAGACTTCATACCCACACATTTATACATGAGATTCATAAATAGCTAATGTTAGTTTTTGTTTCTGTTTTATTTTTTAGAAGTCGAACTGAACCAGTGATGGGAACTACAAAAGCAGTATGTAAAAACACAATCACCCTTTTTCTACACAATTGCTTTTACCTTTATAATGTTTCAGTGAAGTAACTCACTTAGAATACCCACTGACCATAGCACTTACTGTAAATAAATTGTATTTTGATGACAGTTCAGTTGAATATGAATATATATGTGGTATAATTTGCAGTTACTCTGTAGAAATGGGTAATTTGTACCCTTTACTGTTTCATATTAAATATGACAGCACTCTCCCTATATGACACTGTGTTGTACAGTAATGTATGATCCTTTTTAGATGATGTAGGTTTAACACTGAAGAACATGACAACATGTTCTGCATCTGTCTGTCTATAGTTAGTATTTTGTATGTATGTACAGGCTGTTTTGTGCTTTTTGTTTCTTGCAATAAAAAATTGTTTGGAGTGTATATTTTGCCATTTCCACGTTGTTTCACTTAGTTTATTAGGTTTTTTTCCCAGCCTAATTGATGGCTTTCAGAAATGGATTAGCACCATGCAGAACTTACATTATTTGAACTTACATTATTATTACTTTCTCCAAGTGCAAACACATAGTAGAAGAGAGCTTTTGAGAGACTTCTGATGCAGCTTTAGAATCAGTCTTGTTTATTTGGTGCCTTTGAGCACCTGTCCTTTGTGTACCCTTGTACTATACAGAACAGACTGAAATTGCGTCTCCACCACCCAGGGTGCATAAACATGCTAGTGATTCTGATGGTTTATACAATTCATACACAAGCTAGAACGTTTGCCTTTCTCAAAAGATGCTAAACTGCTTCACTACTTAGAGATTATAGAAAGCTGTATCTAATCAAAAGCAACCCTCATTAACTGGGGGTAACATCTTTTTATAATTACAGATTAGCCCAAAGTGTGACACTGTTTTGACTTTGAGCTTTTAAGTAAAAGCACCACTTCTACGTTGTGGGACAGTTGCAGAACACAGGGCTGTCTTAATTGGGGTCTGCAAATTTAATGGTTCTCTATAGACATTTTCCTGCTCAGGCTTAATACTTGTACACAAAAACACAGTATTTGAAACCTTCATTTAGAAGTCAGGGGTATTCCTTACTATTTCATATTACTCTTTTTAAATACTACTGACATTTGTGTATGAGGCATTCACTAACCTTGGATCATTGGATCTTAAACATGATTAAGTAGAATATCTCAACTTTGAACTTGTTCTCTAAAGTATATGGGCTTTAGTTCCTGTCTAAATACAGTGATTCAAAGATTAAAAAGTCAGTGTTTTGGGGGTTTTCCCCACTTTTGGAAAAATGAGTTTTTTGGGGAAGGGAGAATTGTTTTTTATTCTTTGGGTTTTTTGTTTTTTTAAAGCATAATGCTGTAAAAACTGTCCAAGTTTCTGTTTTGCTGGTGATTGGTTTAAAACTGATTTTTATGTATCCAAATGCTAGCACAAATTAGAAAAACTGTCCTGGTGACTGTAGTAGCTAATGTAACACATTTGTATAAACTTTTTTATATAGTATTTAAATTAATTCAGATGAAGTTTTATTTCTTGAAAATAATTATTTCCTTTTTGTTTATTAGCATGTGTATAAACACAAGTCACATGTTCATAAATAAAGTTAACATTCTTTTAGCCTTGTGTGTTCCCTGGCATGTCTGTATTACATTTATAAGAAGTTTATTGTAAACTTACTCAGATTTCTCTTTTCCTTTTAGTGCCTTAAACAGTTTTAATTTTTAAGTAGAATTAAGTGAGATGGAGACATGACATAATCTGTTGTCTCTATTTTTTTTTTTTTTTTTTTTTTTTGCTTGGGTGCTTTGTTGACATTCAGGATCACAGAAACATGTTCATTGACTAGTAGTATTCATAACTTAGGAATAAGGATGGTTTAGGTATACATATTAACAAGCAAAATAGAGATCCTGGACAAAATTTTAAAATTATGATTAGAAAAGCATGTTCATATACTTGGGGGTTTTTAAATTTTGAGATTGGATTTTGTAGCTCAGGCTAGCCTCTCTATGGGACGCTGCCCCTGAGCTCTTGAGTTTTGCCTCAACTCCCATGTACTGGGATTGTAGGCTTGTACCATCATGCCCAACTTGATTTTTTTTTTTTTTTGTCGTTTTGGGTGTTTTTTGGTTTTTTTTTTGTTTTGTTTTGTTTTTTTAAAGACACCAAGGTCTTGCCGTGTAACAATCCTAGCTGGTCTGGTACTTGATATGCAGCCCAGGCCAACCTTGAACTCATGGCAATCCTCCTGCCTCAGTCTTGCAAATGCTGGTATAACAAGTGTGGATCACCACATAACCTGTGGATTTTTGGTAATGTAACCCAAGTCTGATCAAAGATGACTATCTGTTTATTCCCTAAACCTTAGTCATCCTTCCTTCCATGTTGGTCTGGTACTCCAAAGCTAGATGTTCTTGCTAACTAAACATTGTGGTTACATTGTCTGGGTTTGTTTAGTTTCATTCAAATATAATTGGCCTAAACAGATTTCCGGTCCTTGCTCCCATAAACAAGACCCTAATACAGAAGAGGGCTAATCTTAGTGATATCTGTAGTGTATTTTAGTTTTTGAAGATTTTTTAACTATGGCAGATTTAATAGAATTTTAATGAGAAGTCACTTTCTATTTACATTTTAGGAAATATAAATTCCTAACATTTTTCAGCCAAACTTTGTAAACATTTTTTTGTCTTAATGCCTTGCTACATTTGATCTCTTTAAGATTATATAGAGATTTTTTCCATGAGAACAACCATAATTAATATGCAGTTTGTGTGGGAAACCACTTTGAACTCAAGAAGTCCCTAATAAAAGAAGTGGAAGAAAGCAAAAGGGAAAAAGGAAAAGAGAACAAAGTGACAGTGTCAGAGTTGTGTTAGATTTGATTGCACCAGCAACTGCTTACTCAGATCCTTTTCTGTAATTCCTGATGAGTTCAAATGTAGCCCTTTATGAAGAAACTTGAGTAGCTTAGCCTTTCTTGTGGATAAGGATATTTATAGTTTTTCCTAACTTAATTTCTGCTTCAGATTAGTCCTTAAAGAAAAATATTTTAAGAATAAGCAAGAAAACTCTTGCTTGTGCATTAGTGGTTATACATATGTGAGTTTAGTACACAGTGAACTCTACAGTCCTTAAGTGTGGGACGGAGAACCATTTGTTTAAATAAACATCCCAATAATAATACCCATCAGACTAAACCCAAGATGTTTGTAAGATTTACTTTGAGTCTTGTCGTGTAGGTCATGCTGACCTCAAAACCATTATGTAGTCCAGCTCTGGAAGTATGGTCCTCTTGTCTCAGCTTCGTAGGCAGGTACCGCCATGGCTACCTAAGATGTATCTCAAATTTAGCCAATATAATTATTGTATTTATTGAATTCTTCTATAGTGGACATTGGCAAAGGACTTCATATTGAATCTTGTTGGATTTCAGTTTTTGTGTTTTCAATATTTTATTGAAGGATATTTGAAGACTTTTTCTTTGAGACAGATATCGAAGTCTGTCCATTCCAAAGAATTCGGACCACTAACATATGAGAAGCTTATAACATTGAATAGAACACTAAATAAGGAGATTTAGGGGTATCTTTTCCAAAAGTTAATTACTAAAAATGCCTTTGTGCATGCAGACAAGCACCTTTTAAAAAACAAAATCATTTAATGGGATCAAGTGAAAGAACTTTTAAAAATACATTTTCAAAGCCCTCTTATGTCCTTAATATTTATCTGCCCAATTATTGACTTCTTCAAATGCTAAAATCTATCACTGTGTATGACAACTCTTTGACATTTTCCCAGGTTACCTTTTTGGGTTTTTCTTTTTTCTTTCTTTGGGGGGCTGTCTAAGGCTTGTGGGTGGAGTTGGCTTAGCAATCTTTTGTTTTGATAAAGAAACCTGTGGTTTCTTGACAAAAGGAGCTATTGTTACTCTTGCACAGGGAGGATAAACAAACAGACTGAGCAGTTAATTTGAAAAAGAAAAACAGTAGGAATTGCCTGGGAGCTGTTACTATGTCACAGCTGTGATCTGAGCCCTAAGGAGCTGCTTGTTTTTACAATTAAAAAAGTTTTTTTTTTTAATTCTCTTTCTTTGTACATTATATTGTTGTAAGCATTATCAGAGATCTTTGCAAGACATGGGATTCACATTTTAGTATTGAGCCACAACTTTTTTATCCTGAGTTTTCACTGTATACATCGTAAACTGGGTATGAAATGTAAACAAAAGATAAAATAGCTTGAGCATATTTTCAAGTTACAAACAAAATATAACAGTCTTTAGAAAAGAAAATGCCCAATATTTGACATTAAGTGACTTTAGGGGCTAAATAATCACTTTCAGCTGTTTTCAGTGTGGAACTTGAATGTGTGTTTAATTTTTTGTGAACAGATTGATGACTCTTCTGCATCTATTTCTCTGGCCCAGCTTACAAAGGTATATATATATATTCTTGAAAATATAAGTCTTTTTATAACATTTTAAAGATGTCAAACAGTATTTTTTTTAAGATGGGTGGGGGAGGATGTATTTTGTGAATGCATTGTATGTACTGTTATGGCCATGCTGGCCTGAGAAGATGGGGGTAACTTGGTCAGCCCCCCACATAATGTTCATCTTCAAGACTGAAGAACCACAAGAAGCTACACTTAACCATTTTTTTTTCCCCTTTACACCATTTTGTTTAATTAGATACTGGAAACTAACATAATTCTGGAGGAATTCCCTGGTTTTGGCTGTGAATTATGTGGACTTCTTTTAAAATAGCCAAAACAGAAGATTTCCTTTACATGGACAATTGTGTGGTTAATTCTTGAAATTTTTAATTGATGCCACCAAGGTCAATATTTTAAATGTGGTACAGTTGTTTCTTTATGCTTTAAACTTGTAGTCTGTCTGCAGTAAAAAAATTTAAACAACCTAATTTGTTTGAACACAGACTACATGAATTGTGTTACGTGTGTACTTATGAAGCTGTTTGCAGGAATATGAGTGTATGTTTGGCAGAGGGCCAAATTGTTACCTCCTGAAATCACTGTATATACCATGTTGTTTGATAAGGTTGCTTACATTTATGCTCGGTAATGTGTATCTTCTGTTTGGGAAAGCACTAGTGATGGATTTTTTTTTTTTTTTAAGACAGTATATTTTAGATTGCAGAATGTGTCTTTAGAAGAACAGAACAGGTAGAATTGAGGGCTCAAAAGGATTCCCAAAAATATTTTTCCCCCACTATCAAGAAATGTAAAGTCTAATGCAGCCAACATCAGAAGAGAAAATGAAAAGTTATCCTTTAGTGATGTCCCTATCTTATCCTTGGCTTGGTTGTGGATTGTGTCCTTTTTTTCTAGGACGTATCCTTCAAAGATACCCTGATAACGAAGGCTACTTAAGCTGTAGTCCTAAGAAACTAAATATTAACATTAATGATCCTAAATAGAGTAGATGAACCATCCTATCATTTTCAAGTGTAAAGTGGTTTAGCACAGAGGTCACATCTTTGGCAGCTTCTAGTCTATGCTGTCTGTTTTTATGTGTTGTAAGGGCCGGGTTTGAGTGCTGTTCTTTTCTACTATTGTTACTTGGCTGGGAAGAGTCGGGAAGGTTTGGAGGTTTGGATTTTTTTTTTTTTAACCTATTTGTAAAATAATGTTTGGGTTCAAACAAATTAGTTGTTGAACATCTGTAATCAGTTTTCTGTAAATGTTACTGTTGTTCCAAGTTCTGTTAATATTAAGCATTCTGTGTATTTAAAATTACAATAAAGTGTTAAAACTGGTTGCTTGTTTTGTGGATGAATGTAAAGATAAAACCCAGTGAGTGAGTGGCTGGTATGAGAGGTAGATGCTTGAATACTCCAGGTTATTAGAAAATCACTCCCTTAGACCCTGTTTATATCTAGACTTATATTTATTCAAAATAAAAGTTTATATCTTTAGTTTAAATTTTTGAATGCTTAATGCATACCTTTTTGAACTTAATGTACAACTGACACCACTAACCAAAAGCCCTCTGACTTGTAGTGTATAGTAATTGTAAGTCATTTATCCCACCCTACCTTCCAGGTTCTAAATATAAATTACAATCTCAGTGCTGGGACATTTGAAATCTTTTAAAAATTTGACATCATGTGTTTTCACTTTCATCTCACCTGGCCTTTAATGTAAGGTACAGACAAGGTCTAAGGTTTGAGTCCCCCAGAAAGACTTCTGCAGCCTCCCGAGCTCCCCCACACAGCCTAGAGTGATGTAAGAATGCCCATTGCTTACTATTAAGCACAGCTCATTTAGATGCTGCTCTGTGTAGAATGCGTGTGTTGTCTTTGCTGTGTGGTCTTAATGTGTTTCTAATGTGTGTGTCAAATAATTACCTGTTAAACAGACTGCCAATCTGGCTGAAGCCAATGCTTCTGAGGAAGACAAAATTAAAGCAATGATGTCGCAATCTGGCCATGAATACGACCCAATCAAGTAAGTTCATAAATGCTTTTATGTTAGTAGGATCTTTGGGGTGTGTTTACCCCCACAATCAGAAGCATTTTTCCTAAATCTCTATGTACATATGAATTCTTTTTCCTTTTCAGTTACATGAAGAAAACTCTAGTAGGTCCGCCACCTCCATCTTACACCTGCTTTCGTTGTGGTAAACCTGGTCATTATATTAAGAATTGCCCAACAAATGGGGTAAGTCCCATGTAGAAACTGACACATCTAGTTTTTCTTAGAATTAATTCATAACTATATTTACCATGGTAAAACTCGGCTCCATTAAGATGGTAGATGAGCATAACTTCTGGAGTCTAGGTTGCCAGGCCCAAGTCTTGGCAATCTTGTTGAATCTAGCATGTTCCTTGTCCCTAAGTCTTGTTTTCTCTGAAATAAAGATGATAAGTACTTAGCTCACATGGCAATTCCTGAGAAGTAAATGAATTCCTGTGTGTGAGGCATCACAAGTAAAAGTCAGGGAGAAGCACTGTGTGAGGCGTGCACAGACATTACTAAAGAAGACTGTTTTGTCTTCCTCTCCTTTTGCTTCCTCCAAATAGGATAAGAACTTTGAATCTGGTCCTAGGATCAAAAAGAGCACTGGAATTCCTAGAAGTTTCATGATGGAAGTGAAAGATCCTAACATGAAAGGTGCAATGCTAACGAACACTGGAAAATATGCAATACCGACTATAGATGCGTAAGTATGCAGCTTAGCTGTGATCGGTGGGGACCAGGCAGTTCCAGGGTGTAGTGTTTCAGACTTGGGCTTGTAACTTGGCTGCTCGGATTCCTCGGGAAGTTTCCATTCCAGAATTGTTCATTTCCACATGTTACATTTCTGTGTTAATTCTGAGAGGCTGCAGTCTGCTCCATTTATGCAAATTTCAAATGAATTTGGGGACTTTTGTCATTAGTGAGTGCCACTTCCCTTGTAGTCTTCTGATTTTTTTCTTTCTGTCATTTCTTTCTTCCTCATTCTCATACATGCTCCTACATTTTCTTAACATAAGCTGTTTCCATTTCCTAAGTGAATAGAACATGTAATCATTGTGAGAAATAAACGTTTAGGAATGAAAGTGCAGTAAGATACCAAGGGAGTTTAAATGCTGGGCAGGACTGAAATACTGAGGACCCTTGGCTAAGTTTAGCTCTATCACAGCGTCTTCAGTCTAAAACAGGCTTAGTTTACAAGTCATTAATAATTCAGCCGGCTCTATACAGTGCCTTAGTGCTCTTTTTTTTTTTCTTTTTGAAACAAAACTTCGTAGTTCAAGGTGGTCTCATGTGTGTTCATCCTGCCTCAACCTTCTTTCCTATTATTGGTGTTACATATGTGCACCAGACCAGTCTTCAGTGCTTATTTTTTAATATGCTTTCAGACTGTATTTTTAAACCAGTTTTTTCCTTCTGAGAGAGTGTGTATGAGTGTATCGTTGTGCCTTTGTGGAGGTCAGTATAACTTTGTGGAGTTAGTTCTCTTGTAACTTTACAGGAAGTCTGGTAGACAATTTACCTGCCAAACCATTTTGTCAGGTTCCCTATAAGCCAGTGTTTAACAAAGGAACAAACAGAAGAACCTGGTGGTCTGATTCAACTTAGTGCCCTATAGATTCGTTCTTTTTTTTTGTTGTTGTTGTTTTTCGAGACAGGGTTTCTCTGTGTAGCCCTGGCTGTCCTGGAACTCACTCTGTAGACCAGGCTGGCCTCGAACTCAGAAATCCATCTGCCTCTGCCTCCCAAGTGCTGGGATTAAAGGCGTGCGCCACCACTGCCCGGCTAGATTTGTTCTTAATAATGTACTTAGCTACCTTCTTTTACTATCTTCTATAGCTTAAACACATGTTTTAAGTGTTCCCCTAGGCTGTGATTCAAGATTCTCTGCCATGAACCTCCAGTTTTTATTAAGAAATCGTGATAAGATCGTGATTGGGCGTTGTTAAGCTAGTAGCCTTCCAGAAGATTACAAAGTTGAGATCTTAGAACTTCCTTTGAGTAACATAACATCCTTTGAGTAACGCCACTTTAAAGGCTAGGTGTCCATATTCTACATGACAGATGAGTTTCCTGGCTTTACACAAGAATGTTGAGGTATAGCATGCTGAGCAGGTGGGGTTGCTGCTGAAAGGGTGTAGCCTTTAGGGGTGTGTGTGTACTTTAGTGTTCAGATGGTTTGCAAATAAGAATGATTGTTCCTCCAGTCCAGCCCCGCTCACAGGCTCTGCTCACTCCTCTGCTTTCATCAGCCACCATCCTGAGTTTTCTGTGGTTCATCTTACAGCAGTCTGTTGTTACGCTATATCTGTCTAATTCAGAGACATGTCATACATAACCGCTATGGAACGATTTTAAATTGCAATTGATTTTTGCAGTCAATTTAAGAGCAGACTGCTTCATCTATATTATTTAAAAGTTCTTAAAGAATAGAAGTATGTATTGGAAAAGTTAACATCACCTGTGAACCCTAACTAATAAATTCATTGCTTTTGAGTCCTGGGGGAAAAAAGCCCATTTGTGTCAGACACACAGCCCATACTGGGGAGAGATGGGAGCCCAAATATTTTAAATGAAACATTCACTCTTTCCACTAACACCACTGATAAACAACTCAGACTCTTCTTCTGTTTCTTTTTCTATCCTCTGTTTTCTTCCCCTCCCTCTTTTTTGTTTTTCCCTTTTTTTCTTTTCTCTTGGGCAGTGGGAGACTCCTCTTTCACAAATTGGGAACAATGGGGCATAAGCAAATTGATACTTATTTGTGGAATCGTGGTGATGTCTATGGAGCAGCTGCAACACAAATAACACACCTAAGGTACCCTCCTCCATCCAGCTGAGACTGTTCATTTCAGCACTGAGATGAGCACATCCTGTTCCTAAATGAAACAAAGGTTTTCTCTAAGAATTCCTATGGTTTACAACTTTGAGTATGGAGAAGTGGGGGGGGGTGCTGTAGAAGCAGGAGAGGCAAGTTGTAGAATAAATTTTTTGTGTGTTCTTAAATATATTTAATTCCCACCACTGGGGAAATGCATTTCTACAAAAACACTAGACCCAGAATGTGTAATGATGTGTTCTTTCATATTTGTGTAGTGCATTATAATCATTAAATCATATTTAATTGACTCAAGTAGACTAATCTTTTAAAGTAGTTACAGGCAGATCATTGGTTATGTATTTGGGTTGAGGGCCTGGTTATAGATAAGACAGTTCCCATCATGTGGCATTAGTTTGGTGTCTGTGCATGGCTGTTACAGAATGCTAGAATGTGGGAGGTAGTTTTTTGGTCTTTTTGTTCCTTGGGGTTTTTTGTTTTTTTAAAGAAACATTTGGTAAAGGAAAATTGTGACTTAGAGTATTCTCCTAGTTCAAACTCTGTCTGGCACATAGAAACTGTAGTAGCCTACCTCATACTCCGGCCTTTCCTTCCTAGAGTTAGGATTCTAAGATCCTTTTAGTTTCTTTTAAGTGTTTCTTTACTTTTGTTTAATTATTTGTATTTCTGTTTTGTGTCTGTGTAGTATAGATATAACTGTTCTCTAACATTGAAAGACATGCTTGTCTAAACACAGTCAATGTACTGAAATTATGTCTTCCTGTTAGGATATAGTATACTGAGCATAGAGCATGACTACTTTACCTTCTGACAATCTTAAATGCCAAAACTGTCTTTTACAGGGAGGCCTATGCAATTGGAAAGAAAGAGAAACCACCCTTCTTACCAGAGGAACCATCATCATCTTCAGAAGAAGATGATCCTATCCCAGACGAGCTCTTGTGCCTCATCTGCAAAGACATTATGACTGATGCCGTTGTCATTCCCTGCTGTGGAAACAGTTACTGTGATGAATGTAAGAACCCTTGTAAAGATGTGTTCTTCATGTTTGGGTGAATGATTGATTGTTTTTAATAACTGGCCGTTTTTGCCTTTGTTTATTTACTTATTTTTTAAACTTAAGCTGGCCTTCAATTTAATATCTGTCCTGATCTTTATCATTATTTTTAACAAGACCCTTAGATAGTGTGTGGGGGCGGGGGGGAGGAGAGATTGCTTTGCCTGCCTGTATGTCTCTGTACTGTGTGTGTGTGTCTGGTGACTTGGAAGCCACAGAGCAGGATATGAGATACCCTAGAACTGGAGTTAGAAACAACTGTGAGCTGCCATGTAGGTGCTGGAAACTGAACCCCAGTCTTCTAGTAAATGCTCTTAACCACTGACCCCATTTAGTTCTTTGTTTTGTTTGTTTAATGCCCAGTTTTTGTTAAGCCATTTTAAAAACCAAAGGCATGTAAAATGTTTGTCACTCTTTTCTAGACTTAGTTCTGTTTTTTTTAATAATATTTTGATTGCTAGATAAAAGATGAGTATTTGTTAATGCATTTTCTGTCTGTTTAAACATTTGTTTGAGGTCCATATATGGTGGCACATTTTTTTTTAACTCAAACACTTGAGGCAGGAGGGAATCTGTGAATTCAAGGCCAGCCTGGGTAATACAGTGAGACCATGTCTCAAAAAAACATACTTGGGTCTGGAGAGATGGCTCATCTATAAAGTGTTGGCTGCTGTTTCACTGGACCTGAGTTAGTTCCCGGTACCACATAGCAGCTCACCATCATCTTTAAGTCCAGTTCCAGAGGATCAGGCTCTTCTTCTCGTCAGTAAAGTTCCTTTCTTTTGTTTGTTTGTTTGTTTGCTTGCTTGCTTTTGAGACAGTCTCATGATTTAGGCCTGGGAGGTGTCATTAATTCATTACGTCAACACCAAGGTGCTACTGTGCCAGCTCATGTTTAACATCTTATCATACATAGGTATAAGAACAGCACTCCTGGAGTCAGATGAACATACATGTCCAACATGTCATCAGAATGATGTTTCTCCTGATGCTTTAATTGCCAACAAGTTTTTACGACAGGTAGCTTTTGTACTCTTTTACACAAAAGTATCTTTAACATTTTTACTGATTGAACCCATTTAAATGACTGATACATTACATATTCTGCATTTTTATGTTTGGTGTCTATAGGCTGTTAATAACTTTAAAAATGAAACTGGCTATACAAAAAGACTACGAAAACAGTTACCTCCACCCCCACCCCCAATACCAGCACCAAGACCACTCATTCAGCGGAACCTGCAGCCTTTGATGAGATCTCCCATATCAAGACAGCAGGATCCTCTGATGATTCCAGTGACATCTTCCTCAGCTCACCCAACTCCTTCTATATCTTCATTAACTTCAAATCCATCTTCTTTGGCCCCTTCTGTGCCTGGAAATCCATCTTCTGCCCCAGCTCCAGTACCTGATATAACTGCAACAGTATCTATCTCAGTCCACTCAGAAAAATCAGATGGACCCTTTCGGTAAGTCTATATCCCTTATTATTGGAAACAAATAAGGTCAGTGGTGTAGTTTTTCTTTGATAATAGCTATTATTTTTGAGGTAGAGTCTCACTATGTAGACCCAAGCTAGCCTCTAAATTCAGTTTTACCTCTGGCTGCCTCTTAGTTGCTAAGTTAAAAGTTCTTTTTTTTTTTCTGATTTTATTATTTTATGTGTATGAATGTTTTATCTGCATATATGTCTATGTCTGCAGTGGCTAAAGGGGGTGTTGGAACCCTTAGTTAGAACTGAGTTACAGATAGTTGATTGTGAGCTGTTATGAGTGCTGGGAATCAAACCTGGGTCCTCTAGAAGAGCAAGTAAGTGATGCTCTTAACCACCAATCTATCTCTCCAGCCCCTAAAAGTATTACCTTCTTTAATGGACCTCTGTGCTTATTAAAATACTAAATTTCAGCCTAGCAGTGGCACCATATATGCCTTCAGTCCCAGGACTCAGGAGGAAAAGGCAGGAGGATTTCTGAGTTCCAGAACAGCCAGGGCTTCACAGAAAAATCCTATCTAGAAAGATCAAAGGGGCCTGGGGGCAGGGGGAGAAAGAATAAGTTGTGTTGACCTCCTGAAACCAATAGTGGATTTTGTGGTCCACTGACACATGCATTCTTAACAATTAGCCAGCTTTGGGGCTGGAGAAATGGCTCAACAGTTAACAGCATTGTCTGTTCTTCCAGAGGTTCTGAGTTCAATTCCAGTAACCACACTCAAACCATATATCCTGAGATTGGTTGTCCTCTTCTGGCATGCAGGGATACTTACAGATAAAGTATCCATTTACATAAAATAAATCTTTAAAAAAAAAAAAAGTCAGCTAACTTTTAAAACACAGGTGTCAGGTCCTGTTTCATACATACCGAAAGAAAAATTTAAAGGTGAAATCTTTATATGTGTAAGATAGTAAAGGAAATAAATAACAAAGGATTCTTTTAGAGCAGTGGTTGGTTCTTAACCTGTGAGTTGAAACCTCTTTGGAAGTTGACTGACCCCTTCACAGAGGTTGCCTAAGACCGTTGGAAAACACAGATTATTTACATTATGATTCATAACGGAAGCAAAATTACACTTAGGAAGTAGTAACAAATAATATATGGTTGGAGGGCACAACATGAGGAACCATATTAAAGGGTAGCAGTATTTTGAAGTTTTGTATTTCTGCACTTATTTTTCTATCATGTATTCTATGTAGCATTTTCAGGCAATTCCATCTTTTTTTTAGTGTATGTTCAGGAATGTGGTGGCCCCAGCTATGTGGGTAGAGATAGAGGACAACTGGAAAGACTTGGTTCTCTAGAGCTGAGGGGCCAGTTTCCATTGTTAGGCCTGCATGTCATGCCACCTACTAAAGCATCTCACTTGCCCCGCCTCCTATGCATAAAGAGCTTTTTACAGGCCCAGGCCTTTGACTTTCCTTTGATATGAGTGTCATCACTAACTCATAATGCTGGTTATGGATAGAATAGATAAGCAGCATTACTGATTGTTGTCATTTTACTCATTATCATCCACTATGGTGATGTTCTTACGTTACATTGTTTTCTAGGGATTCTGATAATAAGTTATTACCAGCTGCCGCCCTTACATCAGAACATTCAAAGGGAGCCTCTTCAATTGCTATTACTGCTCTTATGGAAGAAAAGGTAGATATTACTGCCTTTAAAATCTAATTGTTTTGTTGTTGTTTTGTTTTGTTTTACAAATATACATTTTTTTTAAATTTTTTCTTTGACTTTTTAAAACTTTAACTATTCCTGTTTTGTGTGTGTGTGATTACTCCTAAAGGGTTACCAGGTGCCAGTCCTTGGGACGCCATCTTTGTTGGGACAGTCATTATTACATGGACAGTTGATCCCTACAACTGGTAAGTTAAATTAATTTTGATTTGGATCTTTTTTTCCCTTTAGGAAATAATTAACATTGAATTTCTTATTCATTGTTTCCATTCTGTTTTGTTTATAAGGTCCAGTAAGAATAAACGCTGCTCGTCCAGGCGGTGGTCGACCAGGTTGGGAACAGTAAGTACATGCTCAAAATAACCTTAGATACTGGCCTTTGAACTAAAACATAGCAACTTCAAATCAGACAGGCTCTTGTTGAATGCTTTTTTATTGTAAACTTCCTTAAATATGCCAGACTTTATAGTTTTTATGTCACAAATTCATATCTATATGTTGTTATTTTCTGAAAATAATGTTATTTTAAAAACTTGGTTCAAGACACTGACATTTATCAAGAGAAAATGTACACTTAACTCCCTGTATGGTGTGTATGTCACTAGGAATTGAGTGCAGGGCTTCAGCACAGGGAATACTTCAGCTAGGGACATACATATTCTGCACTGGAGCTTTGCCCCAGCCCATTACTTTTGACTCCCCAAAGCTACTCAGTCTGTTGACTGACCTTCCCCTAGTAACATCGTTGATTGACTACTTCTATGTACTATATGTGGTGAAAAAGCTGTAGTTGAGCAAAGGCAAGCTGCATATAGAGATAAACAGCAGCCTTAGGTAAATGCTTTGCAGCACTTCTCAACGGGAGCTGCCTTCAGAGTCACAGTGGCACTGTATACATAATGATTCATTTTATCCAGTTTTGATCTAATACTACATTTTCTTGACTGGATGGTACTGTGTATAGTCTGTGAAATTTAATGAATTTTAACTTTATAAAGTTAGATGTTTTATGGTTTAAAAGAAACAATAAAATAGACTCTTGAGCCGGGCGGTGGTGGTGCACGCCTTTAATCCCAGCACTTGGGAGGCAGAGGCAGGTGGATTTCTGAGTTCGAGGCCAGCCTGGTCTACAGAGTGAGTTCCAGGGCAGCCAGGGCTACACAGAGAAGCCCTGTCTCGAAAAAAAAAAAAAAAAAAAAAAGACTTTTAACCACATTTTATGTGTTCACAACACCCTTAATTCTTTCAGTGCTTTTATGGTATCTGATATGTCCACACATATTGCCAATTTCTATCTGAAAATCTAAAAAAAAAAAAAAAGTCCACATTAAGTGGAGCTTAATGAACTTTAAACCCATTTCAGAGGTCACTTTGTAATTCTTTTACAAAACAGTTAAATACAAGCTTTTAAGTCCTTTTCCACCTTTAGAGCATTTGGATCCCGTAAGGACTTCAAATTAGTAAGTCGATCCCTATTTAAGTTTTTCAGATTCTTAACTTTCCTAATCGGTTGACCTCTTTTCTGTCTTAATTTGAATGATCAAAATTCAATTTACTAAATAAATACATTGTAAGATTAGTGTCTGCCACACAAAGTTCCTCATTTTTTTTCTGACTTGTTAATAGTTATTAGAATCTACAGGAAGTGATTTTTCTGACCTGACCTGACACGAAGTATATTGATGTCTGTAGGATGCTTTATGGCATTAAAAATGATTAAATTTGGCCTGGTTAGATGGCTAAGTAATTAAGAGCACTTCATCATCAGAGGACCTGGATTCAGGTCCCAGCACCCAAAACTATCTCTAACTCTGCTCCAGGGTATTGAATGCTCTCTTTTGAAACTCTGCAGCTGCCATTGCATGTACCTGGTACACAGACATACATGTAGTCAAAATACTCATGCACATACATTTAAGTGTTTTTTAAATTAATATTCTGATTTATGACGATATATTTAAATTTTGTTTTCTTTTGTTTGAAAAGATAAACCAGATTTCTTGTCGAGGGAATAGACTGATGAGTGACTAGTAGAATATATCATTAGAAAGCATATGACACTTAGAGACAGGTGTGCCTGTGTTTGCATGTAGAGATAGACATACTGGAGTTGACATTTGTTTACTGGGTACAGGACTGTGAGTGTGTAAGTTTCTCTTCAACCTCTATTTTCTCATTTTTTACACTCAAAAAGTATTCTACTTAAGCATATAAAGTAAAGTAAAGGGCTCTTTTCTAAACACTAAGTTTTTATATAATGTATACAATGCTAATGAAAATACAGAAAATACTTTATATCAAGACTACATTATCCTTAAAGTTATCGTAAGTAAATACAATATTTGCTTAGATCTCTTCTAGAATAACTTTAAGAGTTTAAGATTAGGAAAGTTTTCTTTTTTCTTTTTTTCTTTTTTGGTTTTTCGAGACAGGGTTTCTCTATATAGCCCTGGCTGTCCTGGAACTCACTCTGTAGACCAGGCTGGCCTCGAACTCAGAAATCCACCTGCCTCTGCCTCCCAAGTGCTGGGACTAAAGGCATGCGCCACCACCGCCCGGCCAAGGAAAGTTTTCTAAGCAAGTTAAAATAGATACTTTAAAGTGTGTGCATTGATAGGTTGTAATGTGATACATTATACCTAAGACAAATAAATACTCAGGTTTTTTTGGTTTGTTTTAAACCTTTCACAGTTCCAATAAGCTTGGGTACCTCGTTTCTCCACCACAGCAAATTAGAAGAGGAGAAAGAAGCTGTTACAGGTAAACATGCTAAAACTCCTGGCAAATAACCCCATAGCACCAGGAAATGTACACAGAAATAGCATAGGAATGGTGAGGAAGGAGACGGCATTTGCTCTCCTTCTGTCTTTTAGTAAGTCTTTAGTAGTTGTCCTTAAGAAATTTGGAAATGGGGAGTTACAGTTCAGTGGTTAGTTTCTTGCCTATCCTATGTAAGGCCCTAGGTTCAATCCCTACCAGACACAATAAAGTCACATTTGAACATATGTTTACAAAGCTGTTGATTGAGAAGTATAGAGCACACCTGTAATCCCAATGTTTGGGAGACAGAGGCAAGAAGATTGTGAGTTGGAAGCCAGTCTGCATGACATAACAAGACCTGTCTGGGGATGGAGGGGAGGGAACATAGAAAACATAAATTACATTTTGGTATGTATGCTCACATGTATATGAGAATACATGCTTACAGAGGCCCAAGAAGGATGTCAGGTAACCTGCTCTACCATTCCTTACTCTTGAGAAAAGATAGCTCACTAAAACTGGAGCTAGACTGGTGGACAGCAAGCCCCAGTAATCTGCCTGTCTCTGCCCCCCACAACACTGGGGTTAAACATAGGCATGGGTGGCCCCGCCTGGCTTTTTATATGGATGCTGGGGGTTTGGGCTCTGCTCCTTCCACTTGTACAAGCACCCTTACCTACTCACTGAGCCATCCATCTCCTTAGCCCCTCAGACTCTGTTCTTTGTATTCCTTCCACTGATTACTTGGTCTGTATTGGTGCATGGCAGGATACAGGTTATGAAAGTTAGCCAGCTCAGTTTCCATATGGAAAAAACATTGTTTCTTTGTCTCAGTCTTTCCCTGCTTTCTCTTTTTCCAAAAGAAGAGACCAGAAGATCTGTCTTAAAGCCTAGGTTTTATATGGTGATAGTCATTTAAATCAGGATGCAGAAACTTCCAAACTTGATGAAGACTATGACTGATCTTTTAGTGGGCCACTCAGAATTGCTAATCTCATGACAGATTTCATTAAACAAAGGGGATGTGTACTAAATCATGGATATGGTTTTGAGCAGACAAGTCTGAACACCTCCTGCTGCCTTACAGACCATTTGCCCATTACATACCATTAGTTTAGCAAAAGCACTCAGATTCTTTGAGAGAATTCAGACATTTTAGCACTGTTATTTCTGTTTAACCTTTTCGGGGGGGAAAATGTTCATAATGTCTTCAGTTTTGATTACAAATACTGGAATTAGTATGAATCTGTTTTGTTTGGTTTCATCCACTTCCTCCAAAAGTTATAGTGGTTTTTTGTTAATGTAAACTTTGAGTCTAGAAAAGCATCTGTGAGAGAACTAGGATACAGCCATGTTAACCTGTCAATTCCTTCAAAATATGTTTCCTATTGGTTGATAAAGGCCTTAAAAATTAGAATCTTGGAGCTGGAGAGGTAGTTCAGTGGTTAAGAGCACTGGCTACTCTTGCAGAGGGTACAGGATTTTGAAATACAGTTGTTGAGAGGTTTTTGTTTTTAACCAAGTTCTTGGTTATTGACCCAAGCTGGTCTCAAACTCAAAACTGTGATTGTCCAGCCTACTGAGTAGACTGTAGACCTGCATTACCATACCTGTCCTGTAGGGCTAATGTGTACAAATACACCTTAATTGCATTTGTACTGAAGTAGGTGATTCTATTCCAGTTTTTGCACTTTGGAAAATAATTGTAAACAGAAAAAGAAAACCTCATTTGTCTCAGATGAATTTAATGTAAAGGTATAATACGTTGGAATTTATCTCTCCAGAAGTATAAACCGTGGGCGACACCACAGCGAACGATCACAGAGGACTCAAGGCCCATCACTACCAGCAACTCCAGTCTTTGTGCCTGTTCCACCACCTCCTTTGTATCCGCCTCCTCCCCATACACTTCCTCTTCCTCCAGGTGTACCTCCCCCACAGTTTTCTCCTCAGTTTCCTCCTGGCCAGCCTCCACCAGCAGGATATAGTGTCCCTCCTCCAGGGTTTCCACCAGCTCCTGCCAATATATCAACACCTTGGGTATCGTCAGGAGTGCAGACTGCCCATTCAAATACCATCCCTACAACACAAGCACCTCCTTTGTCCAGGGAAGAGTTCTATAGAGAGCAACGACGACTGAAGGAAGAGTGAGTATTTTAGTTTAGAATTATCATACACTTTTTTCATTTTCTGATATAACATTAAATAGGTATTTTGGAAACATTTTCCAGTGTTTCCAGTTAGTAAAGAAAATTCACCTAAAATTTAAACCAAAGCCATACAAGCAACTTCCTCAGGGATACCTAGTTATTCATAGTTTTAAAGTAGAAAACTAATGGCAATTTCATTCATTTCATTCATGATCTAATTACATTTGTCTTGTTAGTTTTCTTAAATGGTTTTTGTTAACTTTCACTCTTTAACTTTATTTTACTAGGGAAAAGAAAAAGTCCAAGCTAGATGAGTTTACAAATGATTTTGCTAAGGAATTGATGGAATACAAAAAGATTCAAAAGGAGCGTAGGCGCTCATTTTCCAGGTTAGTGTTTTGCAAGCCTTCACAACAGAATTACAAATGGGACTTTGAATATCCAGGGATTACCTATGGATATAAATAACATTGCACTTATGAGATTTTTCTGATTCGGTCTAGTTTTATAGAATGGAGGAGATATAGCTTATTCCCCAATATGTCCATTAAAATAATCTCAGTGTAAATTCTATTGTGTAGAACTGGCATTTATGGGGACTAAGTTGTCCTTGTCCCTTGAAGTTATTCATAATATGAAATCAATGGGAAGTGTCTATGGAAGGAAAGACATAGGGGGCTAGCCAGAGAGTGTTCTGAGGGCCTTTGCTGTAAGGCTACAGCTTCTTGCTGTAACATTAACCTGTACGATTTTAAAAAGTAGTGGTAGAATACGCCTTGCTGTATTATTAGAAAAGAAAAACAAATTATGGAAGTTCCCTGGAAGTTTGTTTAAAGACTTTGTTTTTTTAAGACTTAACACTTAAAATGTGGTTCCTTTTAAAGCTAGACTATTGGCTAGTGTAAGATAAAAAATAGATTCCTACCTAAATAATCAGATAGGAAGTGAAATTTAAATTTAATTGGCATTTGTTTGATGTTAATAGCTCATAAAACTCACGGTACATTAATGCACTCCACTCTGATGTCAGGCCTTGGCTTTTGTTTTGTACTAAGTGACTTGTGTACTTTATTCCATTCCAGTAGAGGTCACTGCACCTCTTTAATCATCTAAGGCGAAACTTGATGCAAAGAAAGAAAAAACCGTGAGAAAAGAATACTAGACTGTCTGTTTTTACTTTGTGTATATTTCTCAACCATCAACTGTGCTTTTGTTTTTAGGTCTAAATCTCCCTATAGTGGGTCATCGTATTCAAGAAGTTCATACACTTATTCAAAGTCAAGGTCTGGCTCAACACGTTCACGCTCTTACTCTCGGTCCTTCAGCCGCTCACACTCTCGCTCCTATTCACGATCACCCCCATACCCCAGGAGAGGCAGAGGCAAGAGCCGCAATTACCGTTCACGGTCCAGATCTCATGGATACCACCGATCTAGGTCAAGGTCACCTCCCTATAGACGATACCACTCACGGTCGAGATCTCCTCAAGCATTTAGGGGACAGTCTCCCACTAAACGCAGTGTACCTCAAGGAGAAACAGAGCGTGAGTATTTTAATAGATACAGAGAAGTTCCACCCCCTTATGACATCAAAGCCTATTATGGGCGGAGTGTCGACTTTAGAGACCCATTTGAGAAAGAACGCTACCGGGAATGGGAGAGGAAATACCGAGAGTGGTATGAGAAGTACTACAAGGGGTACGCAGTGGGAGCGCAGCCTAGACCCTCGGCCAACAGAGAAGACTTTTCTCCAGAGAGACTCTTACCTCTTAATATCAGAAATTCTCCCTTCACAAGAGGACGCAGAGAAGACTATGCTGCTGGACAAAGTCATAGAAATAGAAATCTAGGTGGCAACTATCCAGAAAAGCTTTCAACAAGAGACAGTCACAATCCAAAAGATAATCCAAAGTCGAAAGAGAAGGAGAGTGAGAATGTTCCAGGAGACGGCAAAGGAAACAAACATAAGAAGCACAGGAAACGAAGAAAAGGGGAAGAGAGCGAGAGCTTCCTGAACCCAGAGTTGCTAGAGACTTCTAGGAAATCCAGGGACTCCTCAGGGATCGATGAGACTAAGACAGATACACTGTTTGTTCTTCCAAGCAGAGATGATGCTACACCTGTTAGGGATGAGCCAATGGATGCAGAATCTATCACTTTCAAGTCAGTATCTGAAAAAGACAAGAGAGAAAAGGATAAGCCAAAAGTAAAAAGTGACAAGACCAAACGGAAAAGTGACGGGTCTGCTACAGCCAAGAAAGACAATGTTTTAAAACCTTCTAAAGGACCCCAAGAAAAGGTAGATGGAGACCGTGAAAAATCTCCGCGGTCTGAACCTCCACTCAAAAAAGCCAAAGAGGAGGCTACAAAGATCGACTCTGTAAAACCTTCCTCTTCTTCTCAGAAAGATGAGAAGGTTACTGGAACCCCTAGGAAAGCCCACTCTAAATCTGCAAAAGAACACCAGGACGCCAAGCCAGTCAAGGAGGAAAAGGTCAAAAAGGACTGTTCCAAAGACATCAAGTCAGAAAAGCCAGCCAGTAAGGACGAGAAGGCCAAGAAGCCTGAGAAAAACAAACTACTTGATAGCAAGGGAGAGAAACGAAAGAGAAAAACTGAAGAAAAGAGTGTAGATAAAGATTTTGAGTCTTCAGTGAAAATCTCTAAAGTAGAAGGAACAGAAATAGTGAAACCATCACCAAAGCGGAAAATGGAAGGTGATGTTGAAAAGCTGGAAAGGACCCCAGAAAAAGACAAGATTGCATCATCAACTACCCCAGCCAAAAAAATCAAACTCAACAGAGAAACTGGAAAAAAAATTGGAAATGCAGAAAACACATCTACTACAAAAGAACCCTCTGAAAAATTGGAGTCAACATCTAGCAAAATCAAACAGGAAAAAGTCAAAGGAAAGGCCAAACGGAAAGTAGCTGGGACTGAAGGCTCCAGCTCCACGCTTGTGGATTACACCAGGTATGGAGGCTGAGGTTGGGGGTTGGGAGGTGGGGCGAAAGCAACGAGTGTTCTTTCTGGGAAATGATGTCCTTTGGTCTTATACATGTATGTTACTTATGTTCTTAAGAGTCTGCATCATGGGATTAGACAGATGAGCCTGTTTGCAGCATTGTTTCAGGTCGGGGAGAGGTGAACCACATTGGTTTTTTATAGTTTGATCATGTGTGTCTTTCTTAGGGCAGAATAATTTTAACTTTTTTAAAGCTAAAAAAAAAATCCTATTTTAAGCTAGCTTTTTAAAATTTACTTACCAATGTTTTATTAGTAATAAACTTTTTATTAATTAAAAGTATATTCATTTGTTTTAGTACAAGCTCAACTGGAGGCAGTCCTGTGAGAAAATCTGAAGAAAAGACAGATACAAAACGAACAGTCATTAAAACTATGGAGGAATATAATAATGATAATACAGCTCCTGCTGAAGATGTTATAATTATGATTCAAGTTCCTCAGTCCAAATGGGATAAAGATGACTTTGAATCTGAAGAAGAAGATGTTAAAGCCACACAGCCTATACAGAGTGTAGGGAAACCATCTAGTATTATAAAAAATGTTACCCCTAAGCCATCAGCTACAGTTAAGTACACTGAGAAAGAAAGTGAGCAGTCCGAGAAAGTTCAGAAGCTTACCAAGGAGGTGAGCCATGAGCTGATGCAGCACGAGCTCAGGGGCTCAAAGGGCTCTGCGTCCAGTGAGAAGGGGAGAGCCAAGGACCGGGATCACCCAGGGTTGGAGAAGGACAACCCTGACAAGAGGAAGAGCAGTGCCCAGCCAGACAAAGAGAGCACTGTGGACCGCCTGAGTGAACAAGGACATTTTAAGAATCTCTCTCAGTCTTCCAAAGAGACCAGGACTTCAGAGAAGCATGAGTCTGTTCGTAGTTCCTCAAATAAAGACTTCACTCCTGGTAGAGACAAGAAAATGGACTATGACAGCAGAGATTATTCCACTTCCAAACGAAGAGATGAGAGAAGTGAATTAGCAAGAAGAAAAGACTCTCCTCCTCGGAGTAAAGATTCTTTATCTGGACAGAAAAGTAAGCTGAGGGAGGAGAGAGATTTAACTAAAAAGGGGACAGAGTTGAAAAAAAGTAATTCTAGTCCCCCAAGAGACAAAAAGCCTCATGATCATAAAGCCTCCTACGAAACTAAACGCCCATGTGAAGAGACAAAGTCTGTAGATAAAAACTCTGGGAAGGAGCGGGAGAAGCATGTTGCTGAAGCTCGAAACGGGAAAGAGTCCAGTGTCAGCAAATTGCCATATGTACCTAATGCCCCAGACCCTCCCATTGAAAAGGACCTGGTTGCTGGGCAGATCGAGAAGAACACCATCAAGCCAAAACCTCAGTCGAGTCATTCCTCTAGGCTTTCTTCTGACCTGACTAGGGAGACCGATGAGGCTGCCTTTGAACCAGACTATAACGAGAGCGACAGTGAGAGTAATGTGTCTGTGAAGGAAGACGCTGTTGCCAGTATCTCCAAGGACTTGAAAGAGAAAACAACAGAGAAAGCAAAAGAGAGCTTGAATGTAACAACAACCAGCCAGCCAGCTGCAGACAGGAGCCAGAGCCAAAGTAGCCCCAGTGTTAGTCCAAGTAGAAGTCATAGCCCTTCTGGTAGCCAGACCCGAAGCCACAGCAGCAGTGCTAGCTCAGCAGGAAGCCAAGACAGCAAAAAGAAGAAAAAGAAGAAAGACAAAAAAAAGCACAAGAAGCATAAAAAGCACAAGAAGCATAAGAAGCACGCAGTCGCGGATGGCGATGTGGAGAAGAGCCAGAAACATAAACACAAGAAGAAGAAGGCAAAAAAGAACAAAGACAAGGAGAAGGAGAAAGATGACCAAAAAGTGAAATCTGTCACTGTGTGAAGGACGGATGTTTTAATTGACTTAATTACTAAGTCATCTGTATTAAATTCTGTTATAATGTAAAGAGATTCCAGCCTTGTAAATAATGAATGGAAGACCCTGTGCTGCACTTAAAAGTATTTGCTGCTTGATTATTTCATTTTTACATCAGAGCTTTATAACGAACTTTTGTACAGAATTGTGAGTTGTGACCATGGAACATGAGAGGTTTTGCTAGGGCCTATTATTTTTAACCACCATTAATTAGTTGGGGTGGAGTTTACTGTACTGTGAAATTTTCACATTTGAATTTTTTTAATTGCCTGGCAAATGCTGATATCAGTTCAAAAATATCAGCAGAATGATTTGCTGAACTCATTACAGCCCCGTTATGTCACTTTTTGATTACAATAAAAGTTTTCAGTAAACTTTTCACTTGTTGAGAATGTATATTATTTAAAGACAGTAGTGGCTCATTTCTTCTCTTTCCAAGATCCTTTGAGCCTGTAAGTCAAGCTGAATAGACAAAATTATAAACATTGAAAATGTACTTCAGAGAGGGCTGGTGGAAGATCTTTGTTTCTAGTAATTAGAAGTTAGGTTTCTTAAAAAGGAGGGCAGGGTGCTCAACTCCCAGTGATGAGGAATTGGACTTTCCTAGCTTTTCCTAGTTTTCTTGGAATTCTGTTAGGTCAATATTAAATTCCTTGATGAAACAGAATTCACTTAAATGGTGTGGTTGTGTCTATCCTCTGCCCCACTAACAAAACCAAGTAGTAGTGTGATCCTCAAGGGGTCTTCCTTCACTACTGTGCCTGTCTGGAACTCAGTGAAGGCACTCAAGGCCTTGGGGACAGGTTAAGTGGTTTTAGAGAACCTGGCATGAATAGGGCCTGTCATAGACCATGGTTAAACTGCTAGTCTGCTGTCCTGAGGTGCTGTGCAGGAGCTGAGGACTTTGGTGGTAGAAGCAAAAGGAAGGTGTGTCTAGCAACAAGATGCTTGGAGTGTGTGTGTGTGTGTGTTTTACTCCATATGATTGCTGGTTCTCGGCTTTGAGTCAAGATTTGTGAATGTGTTTTAGGCAACATTTACTATTTAAAATTCGAAGTGATAACACCCTCCCCCTTTTTTTTTTTTTTTTTTTCTATTTTAAAGTGTGTGTGTCCATGGAGGGAGAGGATAGCATTGGAGCCCTCTGTAACCAGCTGGAGTCACAGGTGGTTGTGAGCTGCCTCAAGTGGATGTTGGGAACCAAATTCAGGTCCTACAAGAGCAACAACCACTTGTCACCACTGAGCCAAAGTAACACGAGTGCTACAAGTGTGGAAGTCATCAGAGATGCTGCCTTTGAGCCAGCTCAGCTCAGCTGTGACAGCTCAGCTCTGCCCTGATGCCAAGCACACACACCTGCTGTCAGCACTAAGCTATCCTGACCGCTCACGCCCACGCACAGCATACTCCCACTTTTACTTTGAGGTCATCCAGCAAGATTATACTCCTAATTCCTCCTGATCAGATCTATAACTCAATCCTTTTTCCCACATGGACTAAAGATTTGGTGCACAGAACTATCTAATCTTACCTGGTTACTCACATTTTTGGGCTCATTCTTGAAGCTCACCCGGCCTTCACTTTAATCAGCTCCACTCCTCTGACAGATTCCTGGCTACTAATCATCTACTTCAAAGCGTTGTTGTTTGAAAGTGAGAGCAGTTTCCCAGCTTTGTCTGTTAGTATTTGAACTTAGTTTCTTTCATTAATTATTTTTAAAACCTATAGATTTGTTATGCCAACAGCCACAGAACCTGTGCCTGCCCCCTTTCCTATCTAACCCCCAAACTACCTGTATGCTGAATGTTGTTTAACAGAAACATGCAAAGGCTAGAGACATAGCTCAATGAGTTAAGTGCTTCCACAAGCCTGGGGACTTGAGTTTGAATCCCTAGAGCCCAAGTAAGTCTAGATGCTGCCTGTGCATTTGTATCTCCAGTGTTCTACAGTGAGGTGCTACAATGAGATGGAAGGTAGAGACCTGTATGCCACAAACGGACACTGACTCAACCCCAGGGTTGCCCTTTAATGATATAGGTGCTGTGGTACATGTGTACCCTCTTCCATAAAGATACATGATACAGATTTTTTTAGTGTATGAATGTAGTGCTTGGAGGACAACTTGAAATACTACTCAATAAAAGGGTTTTGTTTTGTTCTAATTACTATTTGTTAGGCACTGCCAGGTGCTTTGTACTTTAACCATTAAAAATACCCATGGCCCTTCATGGTACATGTGGGATTTTTTCCCAGCCTCAGTCATTGATGCTAGTTTCTGATTGGTTCCAACTTGCACCTTGTTGTGCAGAGGAATCTGACAACAGGAAGGCTCTCCACCCTGTTTTACTGGCCCCCCAAAAGACCATGTTGCATCTTACCATTATAAATTTGCCTTTCCTTTTTAAAAATAATGGTCATTGGTGTCTGTGGAGTTATGCATATGAGTGTAGTGCCCATGTGCAGGCCAGAAGAGGGTGCCAGATCCCCTGGGACTGGACTTAACAGGTAGTTTTCCTGCCCTTTGGGGATTTGTTTTTTTTTCCAGTTTTACCATGTAACCCAGACTAACCTTGAACGCTTGTTCTTTGGTTCTTTTTTGTCGAGTTTTGTTTTTGTTTTGTACTAAGGATTGAGCCTGGAGACTTTGTTGTACATGCAAAGCAAATGTGCCGGTAATCTATAGCCCCAGACATCACACTGCCCTACACCTGGCCCTGTGTGTGTGTGTGTGTGTGTGTGTGTGTACTCAAAATCTTTCTAGCTCTATGAAACCTATAGCACATTGTTCAATATAGTCACTGTCTTGTGCAATACTACACCACAACTTCTTGCTTCCTTCTGAACAAAAACTTGATAGGTAACCCCATTGCCTGGCCTCCTCAGCCTCAGCAATGGCTAAACGCCATTGTACTGCACCTTTGCCTGTAAAATCAATGTTTAGTGTTATTTCTTGCTTTTTGGTTTGAAATGAGTCTCATACACTAACTCAAAATGACTGATTATATGTAGCCCAGGCTGGCCTCGAACTCCTCCAGCATCTTCCCAAGTGCTGGACCTACAGTGTGAGCTGACAAATCAAATCAACTTTATAGCCTTATGAATGGGGTTGTAGGTAGAACCCACATGGTAGAAAAGAACAACTCAAGTTCTCTGACCGTCACATGTGTATCCTTTACTCATGCATGTCCACAGACACCCACATATAGGTAAGATGTAATAAAAATTGTAAAAGATGTTTAAGAACACCCACAAATTACAAATGCCAGGGTTTCGTTCTTCTTATGACTGAATGTGCTGTGCACAGTAAGTAGTACTTCGTCTTTATTGGTTGAACACTTTATTGATGGACACTTAGGAATCTTTTCCTTTTTTTTTTTTTTTTGCTATTTCTGAATAGTGTTACAATGAAGGAGTTTTGTTTTACAAATTGGTTTAATTCCAGGTATGTGTCTACATATCTGGCTAATTATTTTTGAGATGGAGTTGCCTGGCCTGGCCCTGCACTCCTTGGTTCAAGATCTCTTCCTACTCATCCACCTTCGTGTCTCCCCTCTGAGTAGTAGTGAGTAGTAATTATAGGTGCACAGCGCTGTACCAGCTATTTAATCTTCTTGAAACTTTCCTATTTTCCATAATGGGCTGTGCGAACTTATTTCCTGCCAGCAATGTACAAAGGCTGCATTGTTGACATCCTCTCCAGCAGCTGACCCACTGGCTTAAGTAAAGTCTGAGGGACTGAGTTCAGACCTACAGAAGCCAAGAAAAGCCTGATACAGGAGCACACATCTGCAATTCAAGCGTTTCTATGATGAGATGGGAGAGAGACAAGAAAATCCCCAGCAGCTCCCAGACATAGGCTCCTGACATGCAGAGAGGTGAACAGCAGATGACCCTGGCATACTCAAGGTGGAAGGGGGGAGGACTGATGATCAAGGTTGTCATTCGAGCTCCACAAGTACTTACGCTAAAATCCTGGAGTTGCTGTGAATGTCAACATAGCATGCTAAATACAGGAGAACTGAGATTAGCAGGACTATTAAAGATTTCAAGTTAACACAGTATAAGCAGTTTATCAAAGCATTTCATCTTGTTATTGAGACATTGCCTCAGGTATCCCAGGATTCCCTCTGACTCACTGTGTAGCCCAAGAGTGGCCTTGAAGCTCTGATCTCCCTGGCATAGCTTCCCAAGTCTTTGAGTTATGAACATGTACCACCTGGACTGGTCTATGCAGTGCCAGGGATCAAACCTGGGGCTTCGGGCTAAGCAAGCCCTCCTCCCTCCAAGCACATCAGCTTCCCAAGCCACCTCAGTGACCAGCCTTTGACATTTTTAGCATTGTTAAAGATTTTCTAAAAAATTATTTCCTTCTACACTAACTTTATAAAACACTCGATGGAGCTGCCACACGTTTTACCCCATGGCTGAGAGGCAGCTTTCATAGCATTGTGCTCTTGCCCCAGAAGTGGCAGAAACGTTGTCAGAACTGAATAGAGGGCCAAAAAGTGGGGCTCAATGTGAAATTCTCAACTAGACAGCTGTATTGGGTTGTATATCAGCATAAGCACAGATTTTTTCTGTCAATCTACTTTGAAAAAAATCACAGCCAGGCATGGTGCCTCATGCCTTTAATCCCAGCACGTGGGAGGCAGCAGAGGCAAGCAGATCTCTGAATTAGAGGCCAGCCTGGTCTGCTAAAAAGTATATTCCAGGACAGCCAGGGCTACACAGAAACATGATCTCTCGGGAAAAAATTCACGCTCTCATTTTAAATATTTTTTATCCAAAATTTTATTACATGACTCTTGGTGTTGGTCAGTGTTCCCATTTCTAGAATCATCTCATCTTTACTAGTTTAAATGTTTTCAAACTCGCTAGTCAACTGGAAACTTAAGCTCTCTATAACTAGAGATAATTTTAACATAAGGAACATCATGTCCTCTTGTCTTTTTCTGTCTCATGTATCCCAGGCTGGCTCATGTATCCCAGGCTGGCCTCAAAACACACTATGTAATCCAGGATAACCACAATCTCCTGGTCTTTCTACCTCCACCCATCAAATGCTAGGATTACAGACCTGCAGCACCCTGATTATAACCTTGGGAATGTGACCAGGGGCTTCATCCATGCCAGACAAGCAAGCTGCACAGCCAGCTCATCCCTAATATCTTTGATGCTTGCAGTGCAAGATCCAGTTTCTGTTTACTCCTTTTATTTTTTTATTTTGCTGTTTCCCCCCCCCCCCCCGCCTCTGGTATTCTCCCTATAGGAGGATCCCAATCTTCACAGATGTTCTGGTCACTCTCCTTTCCTTCTCAGAGCAGATCTGAGCTTTTCACGTGCACCCTCCCCATCCCTGCACACCATACCTCTTCATCTTT